TTTTAATCAATATATTACATTTTTTAAATTTTGTTATCATCTTGTTAGTATTACAATATATTGTTAGAGATTTCTTTCAACTATATTTTGAAATATTATAATTGATTAATTTTTCAAGATATCATTTTTGGTGATTTTACATTTTCATCAGCTAGTTTTTGTCAAACATGATTTATTCATCAGCTAGTTTTTGTCAAACATGATTTATTCAACAGCTAATTTTTGTCAAACATGATTTATTCATCAGCTACCAGCTAGCTTATAAACTAATAACTAACTTATCAGTTATTAACTACCGGCTAACTTATTAGCTAGTTTGCCAAACATATCCTTAATGTTGATGTTTTATCCACCCTTTGAGTCTTTATATATGTTTCTTAGGTCCACCACAATTACTATCACTATACTTTAAATTATATATATATATATATATATATATACACACACTTACCTGGTAAATGCTTACTAGTAAAATTTAACATTATTATACTTATCGGGTAAGATTTTAATCCATCAAAACGACATTGTATGCAACAATTCATCTGGTAAGCTCTTACTGTGGTAAGAGTCATCGCCCTCACTTATCGGGTAAAACTCATGGTCCTTGTCTCGCTCTTACCGAGTAAGATTCTTAGTACTTACCATATTCATCTGTTGAGGTAATGTGACTTGATAAGCACTTAGGGGCCGTTTACTAAACACTTACCCGGTAGGTGTTTACCGGGCAAATTTCCTCACTGGACGAACATGGCAAGACCCAAGAATCTTACCTGGTAAGAGCGATGATAAGGATAGATAGTCTTACCCAATAAGTGAGGATGACGACTCTTACTCGGATAAGCACTTACCATATATATTGTTGGACATGATACCATTTTGAGATACAACAATGTTACCTAGAAAATAAAGTATAGTGTTGACTCCTAACAGTAAGCGCTTACTGGGTAAACATTTAGGTAAACAGCCCATAACTCTGATAAGTGTTTGGTAAACGGCCCCTTAAAAACTACTAAACTTGGTGTTAAGGAAACAGGTTCTTGTAGAAATCTAGTTGCATTACTAAAAGATATAACACTTAAATGGAAAGGAAGATTTTGGTTTATGGAATGGATTAATTAATACATCAAGGATCCTTTTTTGCAAAATTTGAAGAATATAAAATCTATGGTTTTTTGCTATCATTAATTCTATTTGGTATAGTAGGCATTTTAATATTTTGGATTTCATTGCTTTTCCTATAGTTATTGTATGTGTAAAAGGGAGCATGTGGTTATGTAAAAGCTGTTTTGAAAGGATGTCTCAGGTTATGTCTTGATAAATCCCAGTAAATTATGAGTATAAGAAATCAGGCCTGATAAACTTATTGGTCTTAAGTGTTGTGTACATCTGGAATCAACCCTGTGCATATGAGATATTCCACCACATCCCCCACGACCTCAACCACTATGTTACAACCCTTGTAGTTAGGATGGGTTCTTCTTTGTGGTAAAGAATCTTAGATTATTGTTTCTATGTGGTGTAACGCCAACAGGCAACAACTACCAAACAACCCCTTAAGTTGAGAGATGCATTGGTTGGGCCAGGGAAAAAAATATATCCTTATTTGTTAGCCCATAATTTTACTTATATTGAATTTTGAGGCCCAAATAAAAAATTGCTAATTAATAACCCCCAAATCATGTGACATTTATACAAATACCATAGTGATAGAAGGGTTAGAT